TTAGCAGTAAGGGTGGTTCTAACCAACTGGGAACCTTTGCCGATTGATATTTTCCCTAACTGAGTGCCAATTGCAGTGCCTCTAATGACACCCCAGCTGAGATCAGCCTCGCCCAGCGCAGAAGTAGCCTCGCTCGCTTCTACACTTGCCAGAGCCATCACAATCCCTTCCAAAAAAATAATTATAATTTGGTCGCTCAATCCACGACTGTCTGCGGGACACTGCTGTGCACAATTGGCTGCAGTGTTTCGCCCACAAAATACAGAGTTAATTCACTTTGCAGTGGATTCTGTGAAGCGCGTTGAGACATCTCGAAGACACAATAATTATACGTTCTATCTAATGTAAGGATTATTATTCTATTATCATTATTATGTTCTCTATGCCATTACATTCCTAGATGAGGTCCACATTCATTGGACTAGGTGTCAATTCACATGAAAGGGATCAATTTGGACTCGGAACAGTTATTTTGCAATATTTCTTAACAATATTTCTTAATCACGAAATCAAGATCTGATTCCCTTTCAGAATTCATTCAATGAAATTTCTTAAGAAATCCTCGGTGACGAGGTGCTCCGAGACTACCCTGCGTGGAGGGTGCCACAGATGAGCGCGAGTTGTTGCTGTTGTAGGTGAGAGAGTCCTTGAAAATGACCGACATGCAGAAAACCCTTTGAGAGCAAATGAGTGCGAAGAATTTTGAGATGTCCTGACATGAAAGGCTGTGCGTAAATTGATGCTGTTAAAGTCACGATTGGATTATGAGCTCCTCAACCTAAGCAAAGGCATCGAGTGCTCACAACACCCTGGGGTTAACACTCGTCCCTCTCAAAAGAAGTAAAAGTGCTGCGCAATGAGAACAACACAGCACTAATGTTTTCAAAATGACATAAGGAAAGCAAAGCACTTGGCAATCCGCAACTTATTGTTGCACAATTATCATTGGTATTTCATTCGGGTTATAATTAAACGAGTAAATTGTTTTCCGTATCCAACTTGTCGAACGTTATTCATTATGCGCCACTCTATTGCTGAAGATGTTTCATTTTAATTAATTTTAAAATTGATGATAATAATTATAATTATAAATTCTATAAGAGCGTTGGGAGTCGGACAAGTTGGATGGGCTCTTATAAAGTGCCCGCAGACGCGCAATGGGCCGAATGGCCTCCTTCTGTGCTGTAGGATTCTATGATTAATACAAGGCGTTTGAGACAGGGCTCAAGGTTTCTCCAAGTGTCTCTGCACGGTGTTTTCTTCAAGCTGCAGTGAGCGTGGCATGAAAATGTCTAGCGTTCTGGGCAAAAGGGATCTTAGAACCCACAGCATCGTAGAAAGAGAGAACCTATGGAAAGTTTCAGCTCAGAAGCAGGTTATTCGGTCCATTTAGCCCATTAAGGTCACAGTAAAGCCTGTTTGCATTTGCTAACCAATACCCTACAGGAGACCCAGAGCTCTCGCCTCGCAAATCAGAGGACCTGGATTTGATTCCTGGCCAGGGTGAAACCTTAAGCTTCCTTACCCCACGCACCTCTGTTTACCTAGCGGTAAGAAGTTACCCGGTTGTTAGTCGATTGGTGGATCGCTTTTCCAAGGGTAATCATCCCTCAAAAAAATAATAATAATATCGGTCACTCAATCCACAACTGTTTGTGGGACACTGCCGTGCGCAATTGGCTATCGCGTTTCACCAACAAAACATACAGTCAATTCACATTATAGTATATTCTGTGAAGCGCTTTGAGACATCTCGACAGCGTGATAAGACTCTATACCAAATACAAGGATTATTATTATTATTATGGCAGGAAATGCACTGGTCTGTTACAGTCATGCTCATTCCTGTCTTCCTACAATGTTTCTCTCTGATGCCAAATGTTACGCCATTTAGCCAAGACCCCTCAAAACATAGCTGTCAGGTAAACAGTCCTAAATCTGGGACATTATCTCTCACTGATGAAACAAAACGACCTTTCTCTCTCTTCAGAAGTAATTAATGTGACATTCTAATCCATATAACTCAAGCCGGCCTGACTAATATCAGAACAAAATGCTTTCAACAAGAAACAAGCCTTTTACAATACGTGACAGCACACCTTGGTTCTTACGGTCCATTACTTGGCGGAATAAGCTACTGATGCTTAAGATATAATTCTGCTACAAACACACTGGTCTAGCCCATTCCCACCAGCATCTCTGAATAGCATCCATGACCACATGTTGAGGGGCTGCTGGAAACATACGAACATATCTGGGCTGTGACTGCAGCCAAATTGAATCACTCTCAATAAGTTTCTTGGTTAAGTCAAGGCTCCAGAACAAAGCTGGTTCAATGTTCCTCCGCAGGACATCTAAAAGCACAATACACTAAACTAATATATTAACAACTTTTTTTGTGTCACAGATGGTGCAACTGGCAGCTCGAAACGCTACCGGATTACCTTTTAGGACTGAAATTTTAGGACTGAAATTTTAGGACTGAGAGGCATGTCGTTCAGGTGTCGCAAAGCGCTTCACGGGATGTACTGTAAAGTGGAGTGACTTTGTATTTTGTGGGCAAAACGCGGAGGCCAATTTTGCGCACAGCAGCATCCCACAAGCAGTGAGTGGCCAATTTTTATTTGGGAAACTCCTTCCTCTTTCCAAATAGCACCACAGGATCTTTAATATCCACCTGAACGGGCAGATTGGACCTTGGTTTAAGGATGGCACCTCCGAAAATGCAGCACACTCCCAGCGCTGCATTGGAGTGCCATCTTAGACTCTATGGGTGGTGGTGGGGTGGTGGGGGGGGGGGGGGGGGGGGAGGGTTGGGAGGGGTGTGGGTGGAAGTTGACCCCTGTTGAAAGTGATTGGAGGTAACAGACACTTGTCTGCTCCTTATCCATTCATGCCAGCAGCGAAACGGGTTCACTTGCCACAGTATAAAAGCGGCATTAGCGCAGCTAATCATTCAACGTGCTTATAATAGGATTTTCCATCAATCAAAAACCTCGGCCACACTTAGTGAACGCAGCACAATAATCCCCATTGTTACCAACACATTAACAGCATAAGATTAACAGAGAGAAAAACTTTTTCACAAAAAAAATACAAATGCCTCTGGTATTGAATTACGTTCTATTTATAACGCTATAGTCCTATTGTCCACAGTTCTACTATGTTAGCATTCATACGCATGCACATGTGGAGCGTGTTTTGCGCAGGCAAAAAGGTCTACTCCCTGATAAATGACTTGAACTGGCGTCCCTGTGCCACTGAAATAGTCTTTAGTATTAAATATTTGTTTATCGAGCAGTAAGTAGGAACCCCGTTGCTAGTTTATTGGCAGATTGCTTTCTGAGCGTAATAATCCCTTCAAAATAAATAATAATAGAATTGATCACTCAATCCACGACTGTTTGCGGGGACGCTGCCGTGCGCAGTCGGCTGCCAACGTTTCGCCCACAAAATATACAGTCAATTCGCTTTACAGTATAGCCTGCGAAGCGCTTTGAGGCGTCTCAACAATGTGATAAAACTCTACATCAAATGCACAGCGTTATTATTATTATTATTATCTTCCAAAATTCTGCACAATCTTACATTTTAGCTTATTTAAGGGAGGAGTGGGGGTGGGGGGGGGGGAGATCTTGGGGGTGGGGGCCAAAGAATGGGGTGCAATTTCGGGGGTCTCAGGAGCAGAGGTGGCTTGGGATGTGGTTGGTGTTAAAATGCGCAAAGGAATTCGTTCAGCAGCGAAACAACTGCAACTCCCAGCCTGCTCAGTGGCCAGAGATGTCAGGCAAAGTCTGAGAGCCAATAACTGCTGTTGGGAGGTGGGTTTTGAGGCAGGTTGAAGGCTTTTTTTTTTGGGAGGGGGGGGGGGGGGAGAGATGGTTGGGTTGGGATGAGGGGAGGATGGGAAGAGAGTGAGAGTTTTAGAATTACTGCAGTGTTGGAGAGAGAGAGAGAGAGAGAGAGAAAAAAACAGTCCCCTATAACTCAACTGCCAACACAGTAATGTAGGGCAAAAGGAGAGCAGCAGAACATCCTTCTCTTGAAACATCTCCAAATGCATTGAAGGCTCCTCTGGGGTTGTTTCTCTGCAATAACACTGGGCGATGGGAATTTTGGATCTCAGCATCCACAGAGGGGTTGTCTCTTGTGCCCCTGAAGTACCAGATCTCACCTGGAAACAGCTGGTAGCTTTGTCTGGATGCAGAACCCTTGGATCTCTCTCCCCACGTTAAGATTGGAGCTGGGGAGGTCTCTCTCTCTCTCTCTGTGTGTGTGTGTGTGTGTCTGGTCTGGTCTGTCTGGTCTCTCTGTCTCTCTATGGATGTGTGGGATTTGAAGGAACTATCCTGGCAGCAGAAAACTTGGAAGATCTGTTAAGAAAATATATATTTTGTGTGTGTGTGTGTGTGTGTCTGTGCAAAGTGGGGGCAGGTGGGGTGGGGGTGTGGAGGGGGGGGGGGAGGGAGGGAGGGAGGGAGGGGGGTGGGGGGGGGCAAAAGGGGGTAAATAATTGGAAGAAGGCAATAACATACAGTTGCATCCTTTGGCTCTGAGACCCCTGAAACAGACAGCACAATCTGGGAAGTGAGTGGATTTTGCAGTGGAAATATCACCCCTGGTTCCTCCAGAGTCCTCAGGACGTTAAACAGACTCCAGATCTCAGAGAGAGGAGAGAGAGAGAGAGACAGACACAGAGAGAGGGGGAGAGACACACACACACACACAGAGAGAGAGAGAGAGACACACACAGAGAGAGAAAGAGAGGGACAGATATACACACACACAGAGAGAAAGAGAGAGAGAGAGAGAGAAAAAGAGGGGAAGGAGAAAAACAAGAGGAATATTGCAGATTCCTTGAGCCAGCTTTTTTTTTCCCCACCCCCATCACCACCCCCCAAAACCCCCAAACCCCCACCCCCCCAAAAAAAAAACCCCAACCCCCCAAACCCCCTTTTAGCAAAACAAAAAAAGCAAAAGCAAACAAAAAAAAACAAGCACTTTCTCAAAATACCATTGCAGTGTCTGCTTCGACCATGTACAGTTTAACAGCTCTACGCTTCTACCTGTGGGAGACAGTTGTATTTTTCAGGTAAGAATATTTTTTTTGTGTGTGTGTAGTGTGTAGTGTGTAGTGTAGTCTCTGTCTCTGTCTCTGTGTCTCTCTCTCTCTCTCTGTCTCTCTGTGACTGTGTCTGTGTGTGTCTGTGGCTTTCAGGAGGTCAGTTTCTCTGCTTCTTATTGTTGTTCCTATGTTTTAATACAGATGTATAGAATGATTTTTTGCTATTGCAGTGGTTGCTGTTGGTTTATTCTCACTGGATGCAAAGGCAACGCATTGATATTATTGCGGAGCGCATTTTGAGCGCAAATTGGACCCATATATATATTTGAAAAAATCCTCTCTCTCTCTCTCTCTCTATCTATATATATATATGTGTGTATCTGTCTATCTGGGTATGTGTGTTTTACAAAAAAAAGAGACGGACGAGAGATGCAGAGACTGAATGTGAAAGAGAGAGAGAGAGAGAGAGAGAAAGAAAGAAAGAGAGACAGAGAGAGAGGGAAGAGAGAAATAAAAGGATTTGTGCATTTGGTGGGTGATGAGAAATGGGTGCAGTTTGCAAGAGAGAGAGAGAGAGAGAAGGGGGGGTGTATGTGTGTGTATATATATATATGTATGTGTGTGTGTATGTGTGTGTGTGTGCATATATGTATATATATATATATTTGGAAAGTATTGCACAGACGTTGCTGATGTGGTTGGGGTTTGATGACTGTAACCATCCACAATATTAATTGTGCTGCATTGGGTGAGACCGCAGTGATCTGTGTTTGGTTAGAAACTTAGCATTCTCTGTGGCTCAGCACCAATGTGTCCACACTGCCAACTAGAGGTGATGACAAGCTCCAACACACCAACCCACCCCACCCCACCCCACCCCACCCCACCAATCCACCCCACCCAACTCACCATCCAACACTACCCTCATCCACACTCCGCTCCAGACCCTCCACGGCGCCCCCTTACCCGACCTCTTAGCTCTGTGTCTCTGACCCGACCGCTAGATTAGCAACTGCTGTGGGCAAGTTTCCCCCCCCGCCCGCCCCACCACCACACACACACACCCCCCCAACCGCCATCGTTCGCTGGTTGCGTATCCACGTCCTAAGTGAATCCATCTCGGCGGAATGTTATCGCTTGTCCTTTCGCCCGGAAAACACACCAACGAATCAGCTTTGCGGTCCGTCCGCTTCCCGGTATATTCTGGGAAGCGCTTTGAGGCGCCCTCAACGACTTGATAAGGCGCTATATCAAATGCAAGAAATATTCTTATTCTTATTATTTAGTGCAATGGCAGATGGTGTGAAATTGCTGCTTAATTATTTCTGTCGCGCTTGGTTTGGTTTGATATCTCCTGTGTGTGTGTGTGTGTCGTGTGTGTATTTGGGGAGGGGTAGACAGGGATTTATACCTGCTCAGCATTTAGACCTGTCCGTTGAACCTGCCGTGGTAACGTTTCGTCCATAAAATACACAGTCAATTCATTTTGCGGTATTTTCTGAGAAGCGCTTGGGGACGTCTCGAAGACGTGATCAGGTGCTATATCAAATGCAAGGATTATTATTATATTACTTAGACGGTGCTGACAGATGTGCCAGATCAACACTGGGGTTTAATTCATTGACTGGGGGTGGGGTGGGGGGGTGGTCAATGCAGTGATTGCCTTGCGAAGAAGTGAGAAGAAAGTTGCAGATTATGACTGCTCAGTTCTCTTACACCCTCTTTCCTTTCAGTGTTGTTTTAAAAGGTGTGATATTGACTTGAAAGGAGCAAATGGTGCATCACAAGAGAAAACGCATTGCACGCACACAGATATTTATTGCACGCGCTTAAGTTGCTGTGAATGGTCAAGAAATTGCAACACACACACACACACACACACTCTCTCTCAACCATACACTGCCGCCATCTGCATAATCCCTTACTTACTTACTTATTTACTTACTTACCCTTTTCCAATTGAAATCTATCCCCACAAACCATCCCTCAACAGCGCTTCTCATTTGGAATGGAGATTTTGGTAGCGGGAACATTGATCACTTTGACAAAGGCACTGTGCCTCAGGAATACAAATTGGAAAAGATCTAGTTCTTTATCCCGGCAGGTCTCTCTGTGTGTCTCTCTCTCCCTCTCCCTCTCTCTCTCTCGCACTAAACCTTGGCCCAGCTAACGCACCATAATGTCTCCGATCAGAGCAGTAAACAAACGCACGCACACACATCTGTTAGACTGGCCAAGTCGGTGTTGCGAGTTGGCAATTATATCAAACTTTTTTTTTTTCTCTTATGCTATCTGCAAGCGAGGAGTTCACTCACAGTGAAACGTGTAGTGGAGGGGAGAGGGGGAGAGGGTTTAGGGGAGCAGGTTGGGTTTTTATATATATATATATGTGTGTGTGTGTGTGTGTGTGTATATAAAGAGCTGGAAAATTGGTGAAACGCGTAAGGTTAGAGAAGGCAAAATGTGCTGTCATTTGCTCACGTGCTAAAGTGAGTTACTGGGATCATTCCACAAGACTGATAGACATTTAAGAGACAGCTGTATATGAAATGCATTCTCCTTCATTACGACGCTGATGCATTTTGATGCAGCGTCAGTTTGTGGATGGCAAGAGAGGATTTTTTTATTTTTTTTAATCTTTTTTTACGGGTTGTGAGTTCAGCTCCCGAAACCGTTTGCGCTCTGCCGTGACCCTGGAGATCCCCGTGTGATTCCCAGCTGAGGTTGACGATTTTACAATTGCCATGTCCCCTTTGCATTTGGACTGCACGGCGCCGCTCGCGCCGTGAGGATGCCTCAAAGCCCTTCAAGAAGCTGACTGCTGTGTTGCTGTGGGTGGGTGGGTGGGTGGGTGTGAGCTCCAGCTCCCCCGAGCAGATCGAATTCGAGATCCTCATGTTCCAATCCCTCCCCGGTCTCGCCCTCCCCCCCACCCCCCCCACCCAATCACCTCAGTTACCCCCTGTTACCCCACCGCCTCACCCGCTCCCTCCACTCAAACAGGGACCTGCTTCATGTCTTCCCCCAAAACCACTATCGGTGGCCGAGCTCTTACCCTTTTTTCCCCCCGCGCTCTGGAATTCCATGCTGGAATCTCTCCACCTCGCCCCCTCCCTCCCTCCCTCTCTCCCTCCCTCCCTCCCCACCTTTAAAGCCCTCCTTAAGACCTGCCGTTTTGCATCCGGTCAGCATCACCCCAACACACGCACACATATACACATACACACACACCTCACGCTCCATAGCAAAGCCCCACCCTCCAATTCCGGTACCCAGTCAATTGTCCGAAGCACACCCTCCTGACACGAAAGGCGCTATATAAATGCATGTTTGCCTACGCAAATAGAATACACAGTCACTACACTTCACTTCACAGCTGCAATCCTGCTTTGAAACATCGGCCTCATATAAAAGGCGTTACATCAAATGTTAGTTGTTTTATTAGTTTAATTATTTAATATTAATAATATTATACTAATCAGTAATAATGCAATGGAACCAATCCACGGACTTAAGGGCTGTCTAATTGATTACAGTATCTTTCGCTTATCAACTAATAATCTGACGTATTTCTTTGTTCATTTTGGTTTTAATTTGGAGGCTGTTCTTTTATTATTAATGATAATAATAATCCTTGCACTTGAGATAGCACCTTATCATGCCTTTGAGACACCTCAAAGTGCTTCACAGAATATACTGTGAAGTTAATCGACTGTGTATTTGGTGGACGAAATTTGGGATCTCTTCACGCTCTGATGTTTTTAAAGATATCCTGCATTGAAATTTCCTGACGGCAGGAAGTGTTTTGCTCCGTGGTTTCCCCCTAATTTCTCTGCCGTTTCCCCTCACTGTTCCTCAGCCTGGCAGCGTCTAAGGAAGTGGAGGCCGCAAGAGCCACAGACAAACTCACGTCACCTTCCGACTTCCTGGACAAGCTGATGGGCAGGACTTCGGGATACGATGCCAGAATCAGACCGAATTTTAAAGGTACTTTTTTGGTTCAGCTGCTGGATGATGTATAGATTGCAGTGCAATGATGGCACATCACAAAACGACACAGTCAAAATAAAGACACTCAGAAAGGCCTGACCTGACCGATCAGTCACCAATGGACTGAGTTCTATATCCCATATATTAAGCTTAACTGTACAGTTCATTCCTCTCAACAATGCTACTTTTTGGGGAATATTTTACTCAGGAGGGAAAGAAAGGTTTAGGTGGCAGCACGGCACATGATATCGCAAGATTGGTTCCGATAAAGAAGGCCCTTCAACCCATTTGATCTCGTCTCTCTAGCGCTCTGGGATGTTGCCCTTCCTGAGAGGCGCTATAAGAATGCAAGTTGTTGTTGTTGTTCTAGAATAATCACCCCAGCGTCCTCCCGACACAGCACCAAGCTGTTTCTTCAATGAGTCCCAGTGTGCTGGCCTCAACCACCCTTCCCTGTAACCTGCTCCAGCCATTAAATTCCACCCTGGGGAAAGAAATACTTCCTGGTGTCTGTCCCGAAATTACCCTTTGCAACTCTAAACCTGTAGCATCTTGAGATCTACTCGGTGACATCTTTGAAGACTGAAGAGCCCTATCTTGTCCAATCGTTGCTCATAGCTCATTCATCTGACACTGGGATTATCCTCATAGCTGTCCTCTGGACTGTTGATATGCTATGACATGATCTGTTATGATATGTTATGATATGGGTTGTCGCATCTGATCAGCACTGGTTTTGGCAGAATTAAATATTCTATTTATAACACAGTATAATTGGAGATGATTTTGTTGATTGAATATTTTTGTCATTTGTAGGTCCAACGACATCCATTCATACTCTTTGTAATGTGCCTTAGTCATTGCAACGGAGATCATGGCAAATACCTTAGGAACCCCTTTAAGGTGGCAGTTGCAGCTGCATAAAATCCCAACCAGCCTTATAATGAGGCACGATCAGTATATGGATCGTTGGCAGCCCTTGCACAGCATTGTCACTGCAGCAGCTTGTTGACTTGCAAGTTGGCCTTTCCTAAACGCCTGCTCCCTCAAGTCCACTGTGATTTCAGTGTCATAATCCTCCACAGGACGTGGAGTCCTGTAGCTCAGTGGTTAGAGCGCTCGCCTCGCAAGCGACAGACCTAGGGTTCGATTCCCGGCAGGGAGAAACCTTGGGCAAGTCACCTTACGCCAAACGCCTGCTAATAGTCCCTCAAGAAAAAAAATTATAAATTGGTCACTTCAATCCACGACTGTTTGTGGGACACTGCTGTACGCAATTGGCTGCCGCGGTTCGCCCACAAATACAGTCAATTCACTTTACAGTTTATTATTATTATTAGCTAACCAGCATTATAAGGGAGTAGTGTCTTATACAAGGTTTTACTCTATATTTCGACTGGCATTCTTCAATCCCAGGTAACTGATTACCAACACACTGCCTGTTATGTTTCTGCAAGGAACCATTATAAGAGTAACATTGCCATACTTTTGTGCATAAGGGAACCCAGTTTGGCTTAGTGCGACACACGTTACCAGAGACATTTTTTGTGAGGGTGGCTGCTGCTCTTCTTCTCCTCAGGGGTAATAATCTTAATGCTGGCATCTTATCCACTTCCCTCCATCTCTTGTCAAGATATATTCTCTCCGTCAAGGGATGTAGCGAAGATGGTTCAGCCACTCAACGTCAGTAAGATGTTCGAGGTGAATTTACCATTTCTTTCAGCCACTGGTGTTTCCGTCGCTTTTCATTAGCAATCCAGTGAAATGACTTTGATCTTCACTTGTAGCGCATGTGAAAGCCAGAAATCATTTGAATCACTTTAGCTTGACTTTGCAGATCTATATATAAGGATCGTAATTGGGCTTTGTCCATGCAAGTGTCAATAATAATAATAATAATAATAAAAACAATATTCCTGCCAAATGCTTTGAGACATTTCGATGACGTACTGAATCAAATGCAAGAATTATCGTAATTAATTAACTGCAAAGTAACTGTTGGAGCAAACGCAAGGATTACTAGAAGTCAAATATCAATGAAGTGAGGGGGACTGAGACTACCGTGGCAGTCCAGGTCTGTTTTGCATCGTGTTTAAAACAATCACTGGCCTGGGGGGGGGGGGGAAACAATGTGTTGACCGAAATTATTCCCATTAATTCCTTTAAAAAAAATTATAATTTGGTCACTCAGTCCACGACTGTTCGTGGGACGCTGCCGTGTGGTATTGGCTGCCGCGTTTCGGCCACGAAATACACGGTCAATTCACTTTAGGGTATATTCTGTGCAGCGCTATGAGACGTCTAGAAGACGTGATCAGGTGCTATGTCAAGTGCAAGGATTATTATTGTTATTATTATCACGTACACTGTTCAGCGATCTTTAAAAATCAATCACTGCTTTAAAATTAAGATCCAGCTGTAGAGATGAAATGGTCTGCGTTTGAACTCGGAATGACAATCACAGATGGGCAGAAACAGACGGTAATCGTAATGCGTAAGCATGTGATGGACGGAGCAAAAGTTTTCACATCAGCATTCTGATGGAGTGCCTCGGAGGGTCTAAATGATGTGTGTGTGTGTGTGTGTGTGTGTGTGCGCACACGTGTGCGGGTGCGTGCGAGAGAGTTGCCACGTTCGTCACATTGATATTCAGGGAGATGCACATAAAATAACGTGCGTTTTTCTAGCATTGTAGAACCGACAAAAAAAAAAAGAATATATATATATATCTATAACTGCGAGACACGGAGAAGGGCTGGCTGTTTGTGTGAAGATAACAACAGTAATAATAATCGTAACAATAATCAGAACACCGTCGCGCGCAATTGGCTGATGCGTTTTACCTGCAAAATATACAGTCGATTACCTTCGCGGTTTATTCTGGGAAACGCTTAGAGACGTTTTAACGACATGATAAGGTGGGCGCCAGATGAATGCAAGTTGTTGTCGGTGTTTGGTGCTGGTGTAGCTGTTGTTGTAATTAATGCTCTGGGAGGTCACAATACAGGGAATCAATCAGCAATCGGCACAGATGCTCTTTGCTGTCTTGCTGAAAATATTGAATTAAAACTAAATGAAATTGACTGTAACATGACGTGTCGGGCACGCGGTGAGTTTTTCTCACTACCCGTGCATGTTTTTAGACTCCTACCCACCACAGCCATTTGCCCTCCACACAGGATAGCGCCTCGGTGCGGTTCAAATTGTGGTAGAAAATAAAAAAAAGTTGGTTTAAAAAAAATAAAACTAATCGTCGAAATAATCCACCAAAAATCGGAGAAAGAGCCCAAAACAAAATAAATTTGCAACGACCCGAGTTACGGCCACTAAATGATCGATGATGGCATCATCCATTATGCAGCGTATTCCCCGAAACCACAAATGCGTGGAATAATATTAATAATAATAATAATAATCCTTGCATTTGATATAACACCTTGTGTTGTGTCGTGTTTTAATTCATAACACCATGCCGTGTTTTAATTCATTTTAATGAAAGCGGCCTCGCCCTTAAGATCTGGAACTCTCGCCCCTCCTTCACCTCTTATCTGGATCACGATCAGAGTCCTTCCCCTTTGACCGTGCCTACGGTCACCTCCTCCTTCCCCCAGGCTCGGGCTCGGGCTCAAGCTCCGCCACTGTTATAAGAACGCTGAGTAAACGCTGTCGTTGCTCATTTAAATTTCTCCCGACACTGTAAAAAAAAATTGATCGCTTATTGATGAAATTCTATTTGGGTCGGATTGTGGGGCATCTAAAAATAAAGCAACAAATCATATTTTTTTTTTTAAATCTGTTCCGGCAGAGTCTAGATAATACATTGTGGTTTTGATCATTAAGGTTACACCCAGCGATGAAATCCCAGAGCTCAACTCTGCTACAGTATGTGCACCTGATAAATTATACAGCATTCCTCATTTTGCCTTTCACTGATGACTGTTTTTGTGTTAATATCTTTTACCTGGCGTCAGGACTTGGGTTACGGGCTGGGAGTAAACTGTGTAATCAAATTGAAGCGGTGCGTTTTTGCATTTTTTGCCCATTTATAAATTTCAGCGTCAAATCTTCACAATGGCTTTCATGGTCTGAAGACTGGGTTCGAATTTGGCTTCCGGCCATCTGCGGTACTTTAGATTCTTGTCTGTTTAAATTGGCTCAGTCGCTCCTTCCCTCACTCTCCTTCCTCCGCAACAGGGCCTGGTTAGCTGACACCGCTCTCTGACTGTTTCCGTCGTTCCAAGTCTATTCTGTGAAGCGCTTTGAGACGTCCCGAAGACGTGAAAAGCGCTATATCAAATGCAAGGATTATTATTATTATTATTATTTATTATTATTATTACCCTCAAATACAATCGGTCACTCACGCTATGGCTGTTTGTGGGACACTGCTGTTTGCTGCCGTGTTTCGCGAGTCATTTTCTCACAAAGACCAACTCCTACGCCGGCTGTGTGTCGAACGAGAGTCACTGCAGGTGCAAGTTTCCATTTTCTTTGCAACTCTGCACTTCTCCTCCTTGCAGCAGCTGATTCTGCGTAGACACCGACTCTCTCCATCTCCGCGAAGCCACATTAAAAAAAAAAGCCATCAATCTCACTCTGTTTACCGGCAAAGAGAAACCCTCGCGTCAGCTCGGTTGCTCATTTCTGTCACCTGCAGAAAACTATTGCTCGGAAAGCACTGTGCGAATTTTCTCACAGGCCTACGTAAATGTCCCACACTCTGTTCATGCCTGGACCTGTGTGGTTCTCTCGTAGCATCCGATAATACTTCTTGGTACCGAATACGTTGGAATATCACAAGATCACAAGGTTGGCTGTGACGAGCGAGACCCTTTCGCCCGTCTGATCTTATCCGTTGAAGTGCTTAGAGACGTCCTCCCGAGATGGACGACACTGTATAATAATAATCATAGTCGATGTGTTTGATAGAGCGCCTTATCACGCTGTTGAGACTTCTCAAAACGCTTCGCAGAATATACTGTAAAGTGGATTGGCTT